TCAATTAACCTAGATTTCACAGCTGCACTTTTGTCTTTCCAATGCATCCAAGAAACTATGAAACCACCTTATTAACAAAAGCAATGTTAGTTAACTGGCGAGAATCGTGTAAGCCCTTAAGAGCCAGACAGAGACCAAGTTATCAAGACACACCCAGGCATTATGCAGCCACTTTTGTTTCACACCTCCTTTTCTTGATTCTCGGTATTTGTGTTTAAGATACTGAATTTAATACAGCAACAGACAGCACCAGCTAATAGCTGTGTATTTATCAGCTATAAAATCTGTTTGAAAGAGTGGGAAGTGGCYACCTGGCACACCTTCAGAGACAAAGGTATATCCCTTCCCAAACAGAACAGTAGATAYAGGCCTTTACCTACAAAGCTTACCATATGAAGACATTTTCTTTAACATTTGCTTGATTATTTTGGTTTGCATTTAATTATACAGATGGCTTARTGGTTTTGTAATTTTATAGCTGGCCTGTACTAGTAATTCATGTGGTAGTGTCAATCTTACTGAGGGCTGGTTTGGAAATGCATAGGGTTTGAAAAGCTGCTCGTATTTGAAGCCTCTAGTTACAATGCAACAGATGCTGTACTATGAATTAAATGAAAGAATATTGAACAATGCTGGTTTGTTGGTTTTTTTTTTTTTTGTGGACGTCATATAACTATACTATTTGTCCCAAGATAACACTGCAATCAGTAAATCAACGATGAGRATTGTGACTGACTTTGCAAGTCCTTCAAAAACATAACTACTAGATACACAAATTGTGTACTTTCTTCCTGTGTTTTCATTAACCTAAAATGAAGAAAAAGTTTATTTTTAATCCACTAAAATAATTTATTAACCCTTGGGCTGATTGAACACTAGAAAGAAAGGATTTTTTTTTTTTAAAAATGAACAAACAAAACCCACAGTAAACTTAATTTCTTTTCACTCCTATTCCATATTTATGAWTCTTAAAGTAAAGAAACCCCTGTGCTAATGACATAAAACTACATTATTTTCTGGAGGTAGAATGATGATCATTAGCTACACCTTCCAAAGTCTCAAAACCTCATTATCTAAAAAATTACTTCTTGTCCTATTTCTGTCATGACAACTCTGATCTACGTCAGTGTAGCATCCTGGGTGAGTGACAATAGTTATGCACCTTTGCCTGTAGCAATGTAACATTGTTTAATTTTGGCAGCTTTCAAAGACTGCATTTGCTTGGRCTATTGACAGGTGTTTGTCCTTCTTACTCTGTTGTCACAATTCATGTCATTAGACAAAGATAGTCCATGATATCACTGGCAACTCAATTCTTCTATATATCTGTTCTCTCATATGCAAAACACAAAAATGGAGTACATCCACATAAGATGTTAAACCTAAATTTTAGAGACTCCAGCTATTAGTAGATTCAACTCCCCTGTCAGTAGTGCTCTTATATTCTCCTTCAAATATCTGCTGAGTGGGAGCCTAAAAAGAGGATTTGCAAAAGCCTTACKTAGCCAGCAGCAAATGCTAGAAGCACAGCCCCTTCTCCTAAAACAAATGCACACATGGGTAGTTTTGAATCCTTTTCCTTCTTTTGCAATAGCTGGTAGGKAAAGTACACCTGAAGTCCAAAGCCAAATCCCTCCTCTCCCTGAATGGGCTTCAGCCCTATGGAATACCCTAAATGAACAACCTGAAGGTGATAGACAATRAGCCCCATTTACCAACTTCTTACAAACCTGTTCCTATAAATGTAGTCAATTCTGAAAACAGTCAACAGCAAATTCCCCACTGCCTCAGGACACCTAAAACATATTCAGACTGTGGATATCTAAAGAGTTCAATGGCATTTCAGGGAGCAGACAGAGAGATGCAGGACCCAACTTTGGACTCATAGGCTTAAAGCTGCAGCAGGCATGCTGGAAGGCTTGGCCTTGGCCTTAAAAACCATGGGAAACAGCATTTGACAATTCACTGCATGGGACTTCAAAACTCATATATACAGAATGAGTAGGAACAATTCTTCCTTAGATGGTCATTGTAGGAATAGGTGATATACCCTGAGAGATTTACACCACTGAAAGCAGGAAAGGTAGAACACTCTGTAAAAAGACAACAGACGATGGTGTTATTTTTCCTTTAGAGCATATTAAAACAGTGGTTTTTGTAAATACTGAAAGAGAGATCTGACTTTCTGAGTTCTTTTTTTGTCACTTAGTCACTTATAACCAGCAACAAATCTTCTCCTGATGATTTTGTTGAGGATTTGTGTCATACAAAGGAACTCAGCTGACTGGTGTTGTCAATTTGTCCTCGTAACAGTGTAAAACTTGTTTAGTCAGTAGATATGTCCTGAAGGGTGGAAGAACAGATCTATTGGCCAAGGATTTCAAGAAGGTACAGTTTCTACACACGTGCTTTTGAAGTCACAATCAGGCTTTTTTTTCTATGTAAAAAGGACTGTTATGCTTATTTAAGAATTTCTTTGTTACCTTTGTATAGATAATACCCTGAACAATGCCACTAAATAAATAAGCCAAAGAGAGTTTTTACAAAGCTTATAGATAAGGAAAACTGAAGAAAAGAGAGGCACCTTGCCTCTAGCCAAGAGGAAACCAAGACCTTAGATCATCACCTGGTGCCGAACCCTGAGCTCATTGAAATCACCTCCAAAATTGCTGTTCACAGTAACAGAACAAGCTCCTTGTTGATCACTGGAGACAAACTCCTCACACTTGGTCTGTTGTCCAAACCTATTTTAAATCCCTTAAAAACCCCAAAATCTCTCTGTTGTGCTGCTTATAAAAATTAGCCAATGAATAGGCTGTAAGTGAAGAAATAGTTTTTATTTTAGGTAATTTACAGGTTTGAACCATTGTTTTGCCAGGCTGTGTAACTTCATGATCTAGCTAGTACCCACATGTAATCCTAGTAGCAGCCCAACTCATTGTTGCACTTACTTCTTTGAACTTACCAAAGTAAACTGCTGAATGAGACTACATTTTTTGGGTGGTGTTGCAGTTAAGCAGATCCTAATTTTTTCTTTTTTTTTTTTAAGATGAAGTAGTCCTAAGATATAAATAACSAGTGCCTCTCCCAAACAGATTTCACCAGTTCCTTCAGAAAACTCACCAACTCAGTGTGGTTCACTGAAAAGCATGAGTCATAACGCCCAATTTGACTTTTCAAAATGTTCATGTGTGTGTGTGTTTCTGTCAGGCTTGAGGATTTTGACTCAGTGGACTGTAAAAACAGAATCCAGTGTGGAGTTTGGGTCGATATGGAGAGCAGACCTTCCCTCAAGTTGGGAGCTGTTTGGCACCAGGGCCCTGACTCAGAATATCACTGAGAGTGATCTCGCTCAAAGCCATGCAAGTGACTCACATATTTACTTCTCTGACTCCCTCACTTCTTCCTTTAAAGTTAAAATATTGGGCCACTTTTCTGACATCAGCTCACTGACATCCAGCTATCAGCTGAAAGTCAACAGTAAAATGTTAACCTTTCCTCCCTGAGGTCCCTCCACCTCAGCAAATGACACTTCCATGGTCTTTGTTGTTCTGCCCTACAATATCTGCCCAGCAGCCACATCTCATCTCTGCTGGAACCATAGTTTGGCCACAACCTCACATGCCATTCCCTACCATCCAACTCACCACTTCCATCCCTGTGACCACAACTCGTGCATCAGTGACACCATCCCTGCTGCAGCCTTTCTTTCCTGGGTCTGTTAAACAGGATCCTGTTCCCTCAAAGTGCCCACCGCGTGCAGCAAGGTGGCTGTACCCACCTCCAGGACAGTGTGGAGGCTCATCTTCCTCAGGGTGCAYGAGTGTGGCCTGCACCTTTGCCAGCACAGCTCCTCACGACCTAGTACTCCATCCTCCCTCTCATACATATAAGAGACATACGAGTTTTTTAAGTGACCTTATGGTGGCCTTTCAATAACAAAAGAGAATTTACAGAAAAGACRGGGCAAGACTACTTACAAGAGCATGTAGTGACAAGACCAGAGRGAATGGTTTCAAATTCAAGGATTGTAGGCTTGGATTAGATATTGGGGAAAAAATTCTTTACTGTGAGGTGATGAGGCACTGGAATAGCTTGCCCAGGGAAGTTGTGGATGCCCCATCCCTGATGTGGTACAGCCAGGTGGGATGGAGCTCTGAGCAATCCRGCCTAGTAAAAGGTGTCCTTGAGCATGGCAGGCAGGAAACGGATGRTCTTCAAGGTTCTTTCCAACCCAAACCATTCCATGATTCTGATTCATGCCGTGAGCACGGCAGCTCCATCCGAAACGCTGCTCGCCCACTTTCTCAARTATTTTTGGCTTTCTTCCCTGTGTGCTTTACGCCATGCGGGCAGGGTGAGGTCTCCTGTGCCAAAACAGTCCTGTTTCAAGCGGCTCTCCTGCCCAGGCCCGGCACAGCCCCACCAAACGCAGGGCAACAGTCGGGCACCGAGCGAGCGCCGAGCAAGGAGCCGCTCGCACCGGGGCCTTGTGGGTAGGGGAGGCGGCTGCGCGGGGCCGGGAGCGGGAGGCTGGGCTGGGCTGGGCTGGGCCGGGAGCGGGAGGCTGGGCTGGGCCGGGCCGGGGGCGGGCGGAACGCGCAGAGAGCGGCGGGGCCGAGCCGGAGCCGGAGCGGCGAAGGGAGGCGAGGCGGACGGGGGTCGCGGCTGCCGCACCAGCAGCCGGCGAGCGCTGCAAAGGAGCCGCACTCTGAGCCCGACCCCGCGGCGCCCGCTCACCTTTTCCTCCCCGCCTCCCCCTGCCCTCGGAGCGATGTCCCAGCGAAGCGGGCAGTGAGGCGGCGACCGCCGAGGGACGCCCTGAGCGGGGAGAGGCGGGGGCACGGCGGGAAGCGCTCCGTCCCTCCCTTCCAGCTCTCTCTCCTCCCTCTCCCCGCGCCCGGGCGGAGCAGCGGCCGTTTTCCCTCGCCCTTCATGCCCGGGCGGCGGCCACCGGCGGCGCTGCCCTCCGCTCCCGCCTCGCCGCCCCCGCCCTTCCCGGGCTCGCCGCCGCGCTAGGCCCGCCGGGCGGCCCCGCGCAGTGCCCTCCGCGGGCCCGTCACTAGGCGGGCCGGAGGATGAGCCAGCAACCGGCGGGGAAGATGTCGGCGGCTCCCCTGGCAGCCGAGGCGCTGGAGCCGGCGGCGGGGATGCTCGAGGGCCGCCAGAGGAAGCTGGAGTCCATGATCCGCGACCCGCGCTCTCCGGTCAACGTGGAGAGCCTGCTGGTGAGGGGCGGCCGCGCCCGGGGGGAGCGCTCGGCGGGGGAACAAAGGGAGAGCTGCCCTCGCCTCAGGCGGGCGGGAGGGAACGGGAAGGAAGGAAAGGGCTCCCGCGTCCTGAAAGTGCTTTCCTGGGGGAGGACGAAGGATCGTCTCCACGCCCCCGGCCGGGCTGGAGCGGCCCTCGCCCCCACGGCTGTGTTGGGCGAGGGGACGGGCACGGCGCTATGAGAGGAGAGCGAGCGCTCCCCGRTTAGGTGCATCTTATTTGGGGGAAAGTGAGAAACGTCCCTGGCAAGAGCTGATCCGGGGAGAGGAAAGCGCCTTCTTTTCCCTCCCAGCATCGTTCACACCGTTCGCTTTCGCGCCTCGTAATCACAGCGTGTCTTGTCCCCAAAGTACCTGCCTTTGTGTGCGCTGCCGGGCACCCATCGCTCACCCCCTGTGAAATGTCCTCTGGTGAGGCTGCGGTTGCTGTGTGATGTGAAAATAATTCAGGAAAAGGGGACACGCCTAAGGGAGAAATGTAACTGGGGGTTCCAGTAGGGTCACGTTTATTTTTCATTGGGGCAAATTGATTCGTCTGTCTCCGGTTTCAAATAGCATTTTTCSGTGTGAGTGTATGAAATACAGTTTACTTTAGTGAGAAATCTGTGCCCTCGGGAGGAAGTGTGGAAGGAGTTAGATTTTCCCATTTAAAACATCTGAACTCTGGAAAGGCAGTAAGAGAGATTATTATCATTATTGTCATCAATATTGTTATCATTATCATATTCTCATTCTTGGTATTATAATAGTATTTTAACTGAACTTTAGGGTCTTCAAACCTTGTATTTCCAATCTGTCCCAAGATTTCCAACGTGTCCCAGTTATGAGGAGCAGAAAAAGGGGGAATAAATCCCAGTCCTTCTAAGAGTTGCTCAAGGCATTTATACTGTGTCTTTTTTTGTGCTTTCAAATGACTCAGTTCTGTTTGGCCAAAAACACAGGAACTGACTGAACAGAATGTATGCCTGTGCTGTGTGGAGAATATAGGAATTTCCTATAACATCTGAAAAATGYTCTTGCCGAGGCTGTAGTGCTGTGTTACTCCTCCAATAGATGGTCGAGGCATAATGACAGCCATAGTCAATGGAGAGRAGTGGGAAACAGTGCTGCCTATCTGACTCGATTCAGATAAGTTTTTGCCTAGGCCAGAGCAAAGAGAGCTGCCTCTGGGCTTTGCTCCCAGCATTTTCACTTTGGTATTTTGCTAGGAAAACTTTGACCTGTGGCCAAAAAAGAACAGTTAAAAATAGTACAGTCGTTCTGAAAAATGCATCAGGTTAATACTTAACCCCAGTAGACTTTTTCACACTCTGCTTTTATACTCAACAGCRTGATTCTTTTATTCTCTCATCTCCCATGTCTTGGACATAGATTAAATACACTAAAATATGTTTATGTTTCCAAAGAGAAATTCTAGCTAAGAGTTGAGACCGGGCTGCTTAGAACTTGATTTTTTTTTTGTTTTATATGCTAGCAATGTACTTGAGAGTACATTGAGAATACATTGAGAATACATTGAGAAAGCAAATCATGGGAGAGTGTTAGCTGGATTATAAATGCAGTTTTTTTACAGTAAAGGTCATCACTGTTCTCTACATTCTCTCTTGGAAATATTGTTTAAAAAATTAGCAGCAAGTAAAATACAATACTAATCAATCAAATTTCCTAGCTTGTGCATTCCAGATATCTGTGTATGAAATAATGAACTATTATTCTTATTTAGGAAATTTGCAACGGATTTGCTGTAAATGCTTTTTTTTGGCTCTGGTATTGTTGCCCTATGCAATTGGACATTAATTTTGTGTTGGTGTCCTGCTAAGTAGCCTGAATATGAAAACRTCATATTCATATTGAAAAATTTACTTGTTTACCAAACAGCTCACTTTCAGTGTAAATTATCATAAGTAGAAATGTGTTTTCAGTTAAAAGTAGAATACAGCAACACAAACTAAGAGTCAAGGAAAGCATCTTTAAAAGRCTAGCTGGAATGCCACTATTTCATCCTCCAAAAATAACATAACTAAAACTAAAAATGTGGAATGGAATTCAAAATGGAATTCATTTCCTTACAGTGTAAAAAGTCATAAACAGCTGCTATTTGGTATTTTGTGTGCATGYTTTATTTTTGGGAAGCTGCAAAAAATGAAAAAGTAGCTGTTAATCTATAACACATGGTGTAAATTTGAAAGACGTGAGAAGTTGAGGTAATAAGCTGTCTTTCTCTAGGTAGCAATTCCACTGTCATCAAGAGATGTTTTATTCAGTGGCTCTAAATGAAGAGACTTTCTTTGCTTACCTTCCTGACCACAGGATGGCTGACCACATCCATCTGTTTCTTCAGCAGGAAAATCTATGAAGCCAAATCATTGATTGATTATGTTCCTCCCATTCCCCTTTGGGGCCTAAGAGATACGGTTAGATTTTYTAATGTGATTTTTGCTATCTTGTGTCTTAACATTTGTTACTAATGCCTGTGTTGAGCATAATTATTTGTGTTTGATTAAAGCATATCTTCGAAAAAGGCATGATGCATTCTCAATTCAGAGGCATTAAGAAATGGAGAACTCTGCATTTAGTGTGTCCTCCCAGCTAGTTATGAAGACAGAATTAAAAAAAAAAACCAAACAAACCAGCCAACTAGCCAAAATGTGTGGCATGGGTATTGCCACCTGTTTTCTGCTAAATGAAGAAAAATCATGGAGGACTTTCTACTCATTAGCATAGGTCAGATGCACCCCCAGCACTTGGTGGGGTTCTTCTGGTTTTGGTCTGATAAAGAGATGAAAAGAAGAATGCTAGAACTGCATACTCACTGCTGTGATAGGTTKAAGCAAAGACATCTACAAAGGGAAGTGGTTATTGCAATCTCATTGAAGTGTTGGCTGAATGCTCCTTTTCTCATTGTATCTTGTTGAAAGCCTGTTGTTAGGTTGCCTATGGTAAGACAAATAATTTGTTATTGTCACAGCTTGATGGTACGGTCTTACTCTTTCTGGTCATGTAACAGTGCATTAGTGATTATGAAAAGCTGTTTTCTATATTACATTTAGAGCTTGCAGATTACTTTGTAAAGCTACCATACTGTTGTTATTTGCTTTTCTGCCAGCTGTGTCATCCACTAATTTAATGAAGTGACATTTTTATGTGTACTGCATGTACACATGGATGATAGCACTTAATGGCATTTGACCTTGGGTGATCCATAAGAAACCCTTCTATAAATACATTCCTACTGAATAGTTCTGAGTTGACAGCTAAATTTAAGGGTAGCTTAATGGTTCTCAAATACATTTGGGCATTTAGATTTTGCATGTAAGCTCTACCTGCAGTATGACCTGAGTTATTTTTGATAGTATATAATACATATTATCTAGGGGTGCATTGGCAAGTTTTACCTGCCTGCTCTAAAACTAGAGCAGATAGGTCACTGTAGGCTGTATAAAACTGATTCAGACCTCCAGTTCCTTGCCATGTGTAATTGTATCACTTCGGCACATGCTGAACTCAACTTTGGAGTTCTATGGTGGTGACAAATAGCTCTGGTAAATCTTACCATCCTCCTGCCTGGGCTGGAGTTGCTCGAGTGCAGTTGTCCAGAGAAAAGCACTGGTGTCTGTCTACCCTTGGACTCATTCGTTCAATGCAAGCCTCCTGATTTTAGTGTTAAGCTTGAAGTTTGGTGTTACACTGGAGGTGTAAACTGTTGAGTATAATCTGCCTGCTCTACTGTGGTTGTGTCAGCCTTTGAAAGAAGGAGCTCTTAAAACTGCCAAKTAGGCAGTACAGCAGTGAAACTGAGCACAGTGCTGGGCTATGGTGGAATGCAAGTATGGTAGAYTGAGAAACTGAGAGATGATTAGCAGGAGATTGCTCTAGTGTCTCAGAATACACTTGCCTTAGAACCTGAAAAGCCCAAACCCACAAACTAAAACTGAACTAATTTGCCATTTWTTTCACAGGTAATTTGTGTGTTTACACTAATTTTAACATGAATAGATGTTCGTCTGTGTGGATTGATGCCATCAAGGCCCTGGAATTTTACTCTTAATCWAAAGTGGGTTGCAGATGCAGCTGTGACCCCCATGCTTTCAATAGATGCATCTGTCCATAACGATATCATCGACTGAATAAATGCCAACCTTACACCAGGGGTGTTAATTGAGCAGATCACTAGGCTGAGCTCTCTTAATTCAGGGTCTCCAGGTCATCATGGTTGATACAGTGTAYCCCTTTGCAGGCTTTTAGCCTTAGGAACTTTCTAAGTATTTCATATTTAATATGAAAGTTGTTTCACTTTCCTGAATTTATTGCCACATGTAATTTTGAATCAGCAAGAACAATCTGTTGTGTTAATTTGAGCCAACAAGTACAGGGAAGAGATGCAAATGTAGCAGTTAGCAGGATCTGATCTCAAATTCATTGCCGACTAAGTAATTGCCCCTAAGAAGGCCAGATGATTCTCTCTTCTTGAAGAAATAATATTTTCTTGTTTGTTTTATTTCTTTTGCTGTTATTTCTCTCTTAGTTTCTTACTTTATCTGTAAATGTTCTATTTTTGGTCTGTAGTTTTAGAGCATCTACTGCAGAGTTGAAAAAGATGATCTTTAAGGAAATAGAATTGTCTTTTGCTCATTGTTCCCCTCTGATGGATTTATATGTAGGAGTATAGTTGCTGGAAAAATACAGTTCTATTTTTCTGACAGTTTTACCTGGTTTTATATCCTGTCTTATTCCTCACTAGGATTGAAGTGTTCCACTTCTGGTTAAAAAAAGCAAAAAGAACATTTTGCTCATCTTCCCTCCTTTTACTGCCACATGAGATGCATGCTTATTTTTTGTGTATGTATTCACAATGGGAATGTTCACTCGTAGTATTTCGTCTGTGTTGATCAGATTGCAGTGTCATTAGTGTCCTTTGATTGTTCAATCTTTGTAACAACCTAAGAGAAACAAAAATA